GTCCAGGTGGCTGTGGGCGGGGTCGTGCCGCCCCTTCCGGGAGGGGTCCAGGCTGAGCTCAGGACGGGCAGCCGCAAGTCGTGGCCTGGGGAGACTCAGGAACTTGAGTCTGGGCTTCCAAAACCCGCCTCTGTTTACCAGGCGGCGAAGGCGCTGAATGCAACCCCAGTCTTGTTTTGTTGGAATTGATATCTTGTCAGCATCACCTGACATTTGGTCACTTATCTAGCAACTAAGATATTTAAATCAGGAAAGTGATTTTCTATTTAACTTATTTTTGGTTTCGTAATCACATATCATGGGCCAGAGTGATTGGATAAGCCATTTAATTGTGTAATGAGATTTGCATATGAAATATGAAAAAAATGATTTTTCCACCTTAAAAATATTTAGGTCTGAATTTATTTCGTATTCCACACAAGAATAGAACCTATGTTGAATTCCGTTTTTCATAGAAGGTAGCTCTTTTGACTGAAGTAAAAGTTTGAATTGTAGGCAGCTTAACGTCTCAGTTTTGACTTCCTCTTAACTTTGCAGTTGAGATTTATTGTATTTTAAAATGTATTTTAGACGAGTCTGAAATTCTTCAGGTAATGAAAGAATTGTAGATTCCTGAACACACACACACACACACACACACACACACACACACAGAACAATTAGGTATTAGTCTAGTTGATCATAAAGTTTGACGAACTAGTTCTGCCATTCCTGGCAAGCTTTCATTCAGGGGAGCAGACAATTCTGTTTTCAGATTTCTCGGTTCTCTTTTTCTTATCCAAACTTCTGCTAGAAGAGATACACGATAAATATAGCATTACTGCTGTGGGGTATGTTTTAGGAAAACATTATTGCATGTTAGCTTTTTCATGTAAAAGTGCTTCAGATATGTAAATTCTTTGAATTCGTGTATTATCAGACCCTATGATTTTTTTTAATTTATAGAAGAACTTTATATTCTAATTTAAATAGTAGGTCTAAATCTTGGGGTGATTTTGCCCTCCAGCGACCGTTTGCGGTATCCGGAGACACCCCCACCCCACTCCATCCCAACAGGGTTGAACCCAGGGCGTTTTCATGGGGTGTGGTTTACAGGGATGGGGTGAGTCGGGAAGCGTTTCCTTTGGGCATCTGATGTAGAGACAGCAGGGGTGCAGTTCAGTATGCTAAAATTCGCAAAATACCCACAAAATGTTAGTAGTGTCAAGTTTAGGAAACCCTGGTTTAGAAAATGGTACTGAATTTGACTTCAGAACAGGGTGAAGTTAGTAGGACCTATCTTACAGAATTAAGTTGCGTTGCCTGTGTGCTTAGCCAGGGCCCGACATGTGGCCTACCATAAAATAACTGAATGTTGGCAATCTGTCAATATTGTTACCCAGAGTTGAAATCATGAGTGTGGTTTGAGTCCTCTTTTTTTTTTTTTTTTTTTTTTTTTTTTTT